AAAACTGCTTTTTCTCTTGGCTTCAGAGGTATTTTGAAAACGTCTTTTTTTACAGCTACTTATTGATCCTTTTCTTTTCCTGCCTCCTCCATCCTATAGATGAGGGAATAGCTCTGGCTCTCTCCTGAATTCTTCTCTATTTACACCTTCTTTTTTTTTTTTTTTTTTGTCTTTTTTCCTTTTTATCGGTACCAGGGATCGAACTCATGATGCCTGCTTGCAAGGCAGGTGCTTATGCCGCTGAGCTTAATCCCCAGCCCCTGTCTATCTACACATTCTTCCCAGTTACCTCAAACCCTTCCTTAGTTTTACAGTTCTATCTAAAGGGGCCGACAGAGCTCTTGGCTAGCAAGTGTGAGGTTCTAGGTTTAATCCCTATCACCAAATAGATGAGCGGGGCCTGGGGATTTAGCTCAGCGGCATAAGCGACTGCCTTGCAAGCAGGCGGTCGTGAGTTCGATCCCCAGTACCGATAAAAAAAAAAAAATAGATAAATGGATGAGTAGAATGCTACCCACTTATCCTGACTCTCCTTGGGGCTTGAACATACAAGGACCACACTTCCTTTGACATCTTTTCAAGGATGATTAAGGGACCAAACTGCCCTGTAGTCCCTTCCTCCTGTGATCCCCCCCATGTCAGCCCATGATGCCAGTGTCCTCCCACAGCTGTGCAAATTAAAAATCTACACATCATCTTTGGTTCCTCTCCTCTTAACCCCTTAGACTGGTAGCAGGGAGGCTCATCTGCTCTAACTCCAAAGCCGCATCTCTGCTGCACTGCTGCCTCTTCATCTTCACAGACTTGGGGCTGGGGATTTAGCTCAGCGGCATAAGCACCTGCTTTGCAAGCGCATGGTGGTGAGTTTGATCCCCGGTACTGATTAAAAAAAAAAATCTTCACAGACTCACTCTTTGTACAAATTACCCCAACATCCCCTTGGAGTACAGCAGTCAGCACTGCCCTCTTGGTGCATCTCCATGCTCATTCTCTACAAGGGCCTGGGAAGTGATCTTCTACATCACAGATCTTCTCTCCCTTGCTTCTCTCCCTACATTGGCTTTGCCAGAGCTCACTCCTGCCTCCAATTCCTCCCTCTCCTGCATCAAATCTGGCAGAACGGACCGCCTTCTGCCCTCCCAGCATGCTGTGCACCCGCTCCACACTTTTCTCTTCTCAACGGCAGTACTGAGATCTTAAGTCAAACACACTCCTGACATCAACGTACGCTGCTATCTAAGGCAGCAATCAACTGGAAGTGACACTGCCTTCACCAGAGGCCTGAGGTGGTGGAGCTTCTCAAGGTAGTGACTAGGGGACCTGAGTTGGGGAAGACGGACCTCCTTGCAGTGTTCTGAAGAGTACCCTGTCCAGGTGACAGCATCTCATCTAAGGCATTCTTGTGTCCAAAAAAGCCTCAGGCAAGAAGGTTCCCAGGAACTAGAAAAAAATCTTCCTGGGAACTGTATTCATCATAGCTAACAAGTGGAAACAAGCTGTTGTTCATCAACAGGAAGATGGATAAACTAACTGTGATACATTCATATGACGGGACACTTTAAAAAAATATTCTGGCCAGGCGCGGTGGCGCATGTCTGTATGCCTGCAATCACAGCACTCAGGAGGCTGAAGCAGGAGGATTGCTGTGAGTTCAAGGCCAGCCTGGCCTGCAAAGTGAGTTCACGTCTTAACTGCACAGTGAAACCCTGTCTGGAAAAGACCAAAAAAAAAAAAAAAAAAAGTGTTCTGAATAGAATAGTTATAAAAGAACATACCTAATTTATAGAATGCAGCTAAAGCTGTGATATAGACTTAACTGTTGAGGTTGCAAGGGAAGATAAGTAGACAAGTCTAAAAACATTACATAGGCTTTCATCTTAGGAAATCAGAGAAAGTTAAATCCAGAGTAAATAAAAGACAGGATATAATAAAAATAGGAATGGGGGTAGGAGTGTAGTTTAGTGGTAGAGCACTTGCTTAGCATGTGGAGGACTCTAGGTTGAATTCCTAGCACCAAAAGGAGATGGAGTGAAAAAAATCAGTGAAATATAAAAGACACACACACACATTCTCTCTCTCTCAAGAAAATTCAATAAAACAAAGCAAAAATCAAAAAAACAATAAAATTTATAACTATACAGCTAGTCTGATAATAAAGGCAGGATGATACAAATTACTCATAGCAGGAACAACCAAAAAAAAAAGACATATTCACGTGTTCCTTCTTTATCTATTTTTTTGTCTTTCTGAGACAGGACCTCCCTAGGCTGGCCTTGAACTCACTTTGTAGCCCAGGCTAGTCTTGAACTCGCAACGACCCTCCTATTTCAGACTTGTTTCAGCCTCTCAAGTGCTCGGATTACGGTGTGTGCCGCCACATCCAGCTCTTTTGCTGGGGGTTTTGTTTACTTTTTTACTTTGCTGTTTTGAGACAGGGTTTCACTATGGAGTCCAGGAGGACCTTAAAATTGAATTTGATATTCACCTAGGTTGGCCTCCAATTCATGATCCTCCAGCCTCAGCCCCTCTAAAGACTGGGATTGAGTGTGCACCACTATGCCTGCTTTTAATTTTTCCTTTTAAAGCATGGGATGCTTTCCCCAGTATGATTTGTACTAAAATGTTATCTTTTTAATTTAAAGATTTCCTTAACATTCAGGAGAAAGAACATAACCAACACCCCCAGTCTGTCGACATCTTTACACTGCCCGTGTCCTGTTTTTAACATTTCTCTTCTGTCCAGCTTTCTTTGGCTCTGGGTTGGCCACAATATTGGGTTTGTATTGATGGACTGCAGTAATTGGGTTAGAAAAGTTTCACTACAGTTCTAATCTTATCATATTTTTTCTTAGTCAAATATGATTTTTCGGGCTGGGGATTTAGCTCAGCGGCATAAGTGCCTGCCTTGCAAGCAGGCAGTCGTGAGTTCAATCCCTGGTACCGATAAAAAGGAAAAAGACAAAAAAAAAAAAATATATATATATATATATATATATGTGATTTTTCAAACTGCCTACTATCAAAATTTAAAATTAACTACTCATGAAATTTGAGAATAATTTTAGGAATATACATGGGTATGACATCTTTTTTTTTTTTGGCATCAGAGATTGAACTCATGATGTTGCACTTGCCAGGCAGGTGCTTGCGCCGCTGAGCATCCCTGGTCCTGGGTATGACATCTTAAAAAAAATTTAATAAATGTTTAAATATGACGCTGGAACTACGTAAGATTCACAGTCAAAGCATAAAATGAAAGTAATTTTGAGCAGTGAATGACAAATCAAGAAGGCATTAAAGGGCTATAAAAAATAAACAGTACCTGGAACCATATACTCAGATGCTATGAATCAGATTAGTGAGGCATTTTGTCATTTATTTAATCATCTTCATTCAGTTCACTTTATGGTAATGAACATCTTAGTCAAACAACTGTCAAGTTACAGGAGATGAGGTCCTCCTGATTAGGTAGTAGGTTTACACAGGACAACGGAATATTTTGCAAATAAAGCCACAATAACCATTTGGATTATTCTTGGGAAAATATGTGTAATTCAGGGGCTGGAAAAATTCAACTTCCTGAAAATGCTCTAAATTCAGCAGACAACAAAAATCTGGTTAACTGGCTCCTGATTTGTTAGTGATACTCTTTTCACATTAATGAATTTGCTTACACTTCACTAGGAGAGTATGGCACACTGAAATTATTGTTCCATAAAAATATAATCTTTGATTTGACATGTATTCATAAAGTTAATCTAATGCAGTTGAACTTTTTTTTTTTTTTTTTTTTTCTGGACACAGTCTTGCTACATTGACCAAGCAGTCTTCCTCCTGCCTCAGCCTCCCAAGTGCTGGGAGTACAGGCATGGGGCCATCTGCCTGGTTTAGAAGACACAGCCTTGAATTCACTATGCAGCCCAGGCTGTTCTAGCTTAACAAACTTTCTGTCGCAGCCTCAGAGGGCTGGAATTACACACATCTGCATCACTCCCAGAGAAATTTAGTTGCATCTCAAAATTGGTTTTTCACGTTTCCTATTTTGAACCTTTACATCTATGATATAAACAGATACACATCATCTTTTATTTATTTATTTTGGTACTGGGAATCGAACTCAGGCCCTCACGTTTGCCAGGTAGGCACTGTGCCACTGAGCTCTATCCCCAGCCCAAATATTGTCTTTTAAGCAAGGTAAGCCAGTTAAAGTTTTAAAGCTAACAAAAATAGCATTAAAAACATAAGGCAGAGGTGTGGAGTTCAAAGTTAGACTGCACTACGTGGAGTTAGAATGAGACTCTGTCTCCCACACAATACAAAACAAAACAAAACTCCAAACCCAAGACACCTAATACTTTGTCACTGAAAGCTTCAATTATGATTATTATAAGACTACTGAGTGTATTGTCATACTTATTTGTTCTAAAGTAATTATCCTTTGTTTCTACTTTGCTAAATTTTAATACAATGTCGATTCATTAACATTTTCTCTAATATTAACCAAAACTTAATTTCGGTTCCAAACATTCCAAGGGAACACCTTCTCTTACACCAATCTCCAAAAATGCTTATGCAAAGGAGATAAGAACACATTAACTTGTTTTTTTCCCCATAGTCAAAGAAATTTCTTTTTTTCTTTTCTTTTTTTGCCCAGTTGCAAAGAATTGCAATTAAACCGCCTGTAAAGCTCAAAGGCTACTTTCGATCGCGCTTTGTGCAGATGGTCTAGGTCCAACAAGTTCCTCTTATGGTCCACTTTACCTTCCATGTTCTGTTCAAGTCCCCTCACCTCGTCTTTGAGGGAAAATAGAAAGCTTAGTATATTCAAACCTACTGGGCGGCCGAGAGCCGGGGTCCGTAAGCGCCGCAGGGGGAACCACGGCGGGGGAGGAATGGGGGGAAGAGGGGGAGTCGGGTCCCTGCCCCGCTCCGCCCCCGCGGATCGAGGTGCGCCTTGGGGCGGCGCCGGGGCGGGGCCGGCCGGCCAGGTCGACTCTCGGGCCAGCGCCGTGTCCAGAGCGCGCAGCCCGCCGGCGAGTGCGCACCGGGACCCGCTGTTCTCTCGGCCCCGCGACCCCTGCCTCCCGGGCCCCCGGCGCGCGGCATGGCGCCCTCCCAGGTCCTCGCGTGCGGGTTCCTGCTCCTGGCGGCTACGGCGGCGGTGGGCACAGCCCAGGAAGGTGAGGGCGCGCGCGGCGGCGGGCGGGGGCCGCTCCGGGGCAGGGCCCGAGGCGCGGAGGCGCGGGCGGCGGGCCGAGTGGCCACCTCGGGGCTCCGGGGCACAGCCCGCGCCTCCTCCCGGTTGCTCCGACTTGGGGCGGCAGGAGCGGAGTCTCCGCGGCGGAGACCGCCCGGCCCGCACACCTGCGCCGGCCCCGGATGTGGCCGCGGGCGGGGACAGGTAGCTGGGCGGGCGCCGTGGCGGCCGCCTCGCACCTGCGCGCGGGAGCCGCCCTCCGGTGACCGCGCTGCGGACCTGGGTTTCTCCTAGAATCGTGAGTCACGAAAGGCAAAAGGCTGGGAACACGGGATAAAGACAGCCGGAGGAGGAAAAATTCCGTAATCCACCCTCTCAGAATCCCCAATTTAAGGGCTGGTCCGTTTTTCTTTTCTTTTTTTCTTTTTTTTTTTTTTTTTTGTCTTTTTGAGACAGGGTCTCGCTATGCAGTTCAGGCTGGCCTTGAGCTCACTTTGTAGCCCACGCTGGTCTCCAACTCACAACCATCTTCCTGCCGCGGCCTCCTCGAGTGCTGTGATTACTGGTGTGCGCCCGGTTTTTCTTTGAGACATTGTTCTAAACATCGCCGTAAATCTAGGGGTGTAGGCTTGTATCTTATTTTTTCCCTCCTGCAGAACATCCAGAACTTTACATTTCCTTTATTTTACTTTATTTATTTATTTAGTACCGGGAATTGAACTCAGGACTTACACTTGCCAGGCAGATGCTGTGCCGCTGAGCTATATCCCCAGACCCTTCCTTTTGTTTTAAAAAATACTTAGAAAGCCTGTAGTGGTGGTGCACACGGGGGAAGACTGCTGTGAATTCAAGACCAGCCTACATAGCCAGACACTATGTCACCAAACCAAACCAAACCAAACCAAACCAAAGAACAACAGTGGTTTGATACCACTTCTTACTCTGGGTTAGACACTTTGACTGTGGCCTTTTAACTAATTTGTGAGGAGGTATCCAGAAGTGGAGAGAATTGGTCCAAGCTCTCTGGAAAGGCTTTTACTCCCACTAACAGGGGGATGCCTATATTCATTACACTTTCAAAGTAGTGAAGTCTAGTCGGCTTGTATTTTCTAGCTTGAATCTGAGGCCAGATACTTAATTTTTATGCAGTTCAGGCTGGCCTTGAACTCACTTTGTAGCCCAGGTTCCGGCCCAGGTTGGCTTGGAACTTGCAGTGATCCTCTTGTCTCAGCCTCCCAAGTGCCAAACTAAACACATAATCTTAAATTGGAATGTAAACGAAATTTTAAGCCAATTAAGGGTACATAAAAACAGATCGATATAAAAATTCTTTCGTTTAAAAATTAATGGTATGTTTTAGATATACGTAGTGATCACATTCCTCATAGGAAATTTGTACTCGTACATGATATATCTTGATTCTTTTTTCCTCCAATCCCCTCCCCTTCAATTCCTCTTTGCCTTCTTATTTTAAGTTTTTTTTTTTTTTTTTTTTTTAATATCGGTACCAGGGATTGAACTCACGACTGCTTGCTTACAAGGCAGGCACGTATGCCACTGAGCTAAATCCCCAGCCTCTTTATATAAGTTTATTGGTACAATTTAGATATATACAACGATCACATTCATCATAGGGAATTTGTACCTATATGTGATATATCCTGTTTGATCATCCCCCTCCTTATTTATAAAAGCTGTTTCCAGTTTTTCTTCTGTTTTGTTTTTCCCCATTCTCTCCCCCTTTTTTCTCTTCTCATTTGAAGTCCTGCTAATTTTGGGGTTTTTTTGGTCTTTTTTGGTATTGGGAATCAAATTTTTTTTAAATAATTGCACTCTTTAAAAAATGTACACTCTCGGGGCTGGGGATTTAGCTCAGCGGCATAAGCACCTGCCTTGCAAGCAGGCAGTCGTGAGTTCGATCCCCGGTACCGATAAAAAGGGAAAAGACAAAAAAACAAAATGTACACTCTAGTAGTGGGACATAGTGGTGCACACCTGTAATCCCAGTACTTGGGAGATTGAGGCCGGCAGGAGGATCGCTGTGAGTTTGAAGCCACTCTGAACAACATAGTGAGACCCTGTCTCAAAAACCCAAAACCCAAATAAATAAATAAACAAAAGCACTGTTTCTTGACTCCCAGTGATATGGGACTCTTAAGACAGGAGGATCGCAAGTTTAAGCCCACTCTGGGTAAGTTAGCAATATAAACTGTCTCAAAATAAAAATATTAAAAGGTCACTACGAATGCTCTGGATTCACTCCTTAGATAAAAGGGATGGTATGGCCTTGTCAATTTGAAGTTAAAATACTCTTGAAGTAGTCCAAAATGAAACTCTTTAAGTTGATACCAGGACTCCAAATAAGTGCTTAGTATCACTTTTTCCTTAGTATCATTTTCAAAATCACATTTTATTATCTGATAGAATTAGGAACCATACAGAGATGTCCCCACATTCAGTCTAAAGTATGTATAATGAAAGATACAATATCTTCTAAAGGTCAGTATGTCCCTACTAGTCCACAAAGCAAGCACCCCTTAAGGAAATGGGGAGAAGCTGGGCATGGTGGTACCTACCTATAATCTCAGTAATGAGGCTGAGGCAGGAGGATTGCTGTGAGTTTGAGGCCAGCCTGGACTACATAGTGAGACCTGTCTCAACAACCAAAAACAAAACAGAAAAGAAACAGGAAAAAAAAAAAAAAAAAAAAAAAAAAGGAGGAGGAAAGGAAGGACCTGAGGAGTCACAGGTTCTAGAACTGGAACTGCTGGAAAAGAGGCTGTCACTGTTGTGCAGAGGAGGAAAAGAGCTAACGGAGGGAGTGTCACAGAGGCAGAGCCAGCGTCACATACACTGTCGGGAGTGGTGTCGCTCGTGGTAGAGCACACATGTGGAATCTTGGATCCAATGTCCACATTTTTTAAAGCTTATCAAAATTTAAATGGATACAGATTAGACCGTGTGGCTACGTAATGTATGCACGCTGTTCAGCAAGGGCCAGGCAGGTGAGTTTCAGCTGAAATTACGGCTGAAAACACATTCAGGACCACTTTTAAAGGCTTTGTGTCTTTGTAACTTGGGCATTATTATCAGAACATAGTTTAGCAGGGACATCAGAGTTGATGATTGGATCCACATTTTCAAATATACATACTTCTGATTTTCTAGCATGTATCTGTGAAAACTACAGGATGACCACAAACTGCTTTTTGGACAACGGTCAGTGCAAGTGCACCGCCTATGGCACACAGAACTCTGTCCTTTGCTCAACATGTGAGTGAAATATTCTTCCTGTCTTTATACTTGTCTCTTGGTAGTTGTCTTTTAATTGATGTGCCCTGAACTGAGAAGGGTCTTACTGGCCCAAATCTGAATCGTATCATGTTGTCAAAATAATCTCACATCTGAGGCTCCTTCAACTAATAACGTGGGGAGATGAAAGTGTGAGATAATGTTTGGAATGGAAGGAGTTGAAAGTGTCCCCTGTGCACGTGACACTGCAGTCACTTTGCAGTTTGACCCTGAGCTTTTCTTTTCAGTGGCTTCCAAATGTTTAGTGATGAAGGCAGAGATGACTCAGTCAAAGTCTGGGAGAAGAGCAAAGCCTGAAGGAGCAATCCAGAACAACGACGGGCTGTACGACCCCGAATGTGACGAACACGGCCGCTTCAAAGCCAAGCAATGCAACGGCACGTCCACGTGCTGGTGCGTGAACAGCGCCGGCGTCCGAAGGACCAACAAGGATTCGGAGATCCAGTGCTCCGAGACCGTGCAGACCTAGTGAGTGGCCTCCAGGGTTACTGTTGGCATGCTTCTCAGATTCCTTTTGACTTATTTTGGGGTAGCAATATCATTGATGGTTTAGAATTCAGAAGAAAGGAAAGAATGCGCAGTGAAAGTCTCTGTCCAGTCCCCCAGTCTGCAGTGTACCTCTGTAACGCTGATGGTGTCACTTTGTTCCATAACCTTCCAGGGGCATGTTACAAATTTACGGCGTACAGATATTCTTTTTCATATACCCAGTAGCATACTAGATAGAAGTTTCTTTTCATATATTTACTTAAAGACTCAGTATTTTAAATGTATGTGAATAACTTAACCTATTTATATATATTTGCTTAGTGTTTTTGTTTGTTTTGTTTTGCTTTCTTTTTTAAGATAGGGTTTTGTTATATAGTTGAGGCTGGCTTTGAGCTCCTGCCTCAGCCTCCTGAGGGCTGGGATTACTTCACGAGTTTAAAAGAGATGTGAGGGCCAAGGCTGTAGCTCAATAGTAGTAAGGGGGGTAGTGTAATAGTGCCGGGGATTGCATGAGGCGCTTTCTGTGAAGCGAGTGAGAATGAGGGGGAACCATGGGCACAGTTCCTGCAGATCCCTGTTCTGTCAGCTCTACTGTGATTCCAGCTGGAACCACAGTGAGGGCTTGTCAGGAAGCCCGTGTAGAGACTCAGATACAGACAGCTGTCTCTGTCCTTTGACTTCCAGCTGGATCATCATTGAACTAAAACACAAAGAAAGAAAGCAGCCTTTTGACCTTCAGAGTTTACAGGCGTAAGTAAAATACCATGCCTCGTATTATCCTTGCACAGTTGCTTTTCAAACCTTCCATCCTGCACTGTTAGAAAAACTAAGTTAAAATGCTATTTTTTTACATCTGTCAATAGTTTTTTTTAAATAATACAGTTGTAATAACAGTACGATGAGCCAGGCCTGGTAGCATATGCCTATATTTCCAGCATTGGGGAGGCTGAAGCAGGAGGTTGGCATGAGTTTGAGGCCAGCCTGGGTTACATCGATCAACTCAGGGTCAGCCTGAACTACAAAGTGAGACCATAGGAAAAGCAAACAGAAAACTCTCAATGATTCCTGTGTATCCCCTTCTCAGATTCACTAGTTAATATTTGCTATATTTTCTCTTTGTGTTTGTGTGTGTGAATGTTAATTTTTAAAAAATGTGTTATAGGGGCTGGGGATTTAGCTCAGCTGCATAAGCGCCTGCCTTGCAAGCAGGCAGTCGTGAGTTCGATCCCTGGTACCGATAAAAACGAAAAAGACAAAAAAAAAAAAAAAAAAAAAAATGTGTTACAGTGAAAGGCACATTGCAATTAACCCCCGCAAAATACTTTTTGCTTTGAACACGCCCGTTGTTGTTTTGCTTTGTTTCTTTGTTTTTGTTTTTGTTTTTTTGGTACCAGGAAAGTAACTCAGAACCTCACCCTTGTCAGGCAGGTGCGTGCCATTGAGCTGTATCCCCGGCCCCTCACCCATTGTTCTTACCACCTTCTGCAGCAGTTCTGGGAACCCTCTCTCAGGTCTTTAGTTGTGCTCTTCTGGCTCCATTGAGAGCTCGTTTGGAGGTGCTACCAGGAGAGCGCAGCTACTCATATACTCTTGACCGAGGAACGGTCCTCCTCATTCTGGTGAAGTAGGTAGACGAGGACACACCCTAGTATTTTCGCAAGCCTGCCTTTCCATTGGAGGGCACTTGGTAGCAGCGTTCACCATATTTTTTTATCACACCTCATAAAGATACTTATGAATCCTGATGAGTACAAGGTCCTGAGTTCATTTCCTGGTACCAAAAGAAAACAGATACTCATGAAAGAGGACTTCTATAACTCTGCAGAAAACAGCAGGAATGCCATAGCTGGGTGTGGTGTGGTGGTGCACATCTGTAATCCCAGCACTCAGGAGGCTGAGTCAGAATTGCCACAAGTTTGAAGCCAGTCTGCGCAACATAGTGAGACCCTGTCTCAAAAAAAGAAAAATCGAAAAAAAGAAAGTGGCAAGAATGATGGGATAAGGGTGTTTAAAGTGAAGGAAAGGATTTTGAGAGGGACTAATGGCAGTTTTTTCTTTTGTTTTGTGGTTTTTTTTTTTTTTTGAGACTGGATCTTGCTGAACTTGCTGTGTAGCCCCGGTTGTCTTTGAACTCACAGTGATCTTTTTTTAATTTAATTTAATTTTATTTTTTGAAAGAGGGTCTTGCTGTAGAATTTGGGCTGATCTTGAACTCACTGTATAGCTCAAAACTGACCTGAAGCTCACAGTGAGTCTCCTCTCTCGACCTCCTAAGTGCTGGAGTTACAGGCATGTGTTACCATCCCAGCAAAACATTCTATTTCTAATTGAAATGGCATCCAGCAGTTTTAGTATCAATGAATTATAGTAACCTGAAGCAACTTTTTTACTATGGTGGTTGCACAGTGCATAAACATCTTAACAACTTCAGTTCCACTTGGGCAGCACAGTCTTGAAATTGGAGCAATTCAGAGAAGAGTAGCATGGTCCCTGCAAACTTGTGAAGCATTCCATATTTTTTTTTTAAGTGTTCCATATTTTAAAAGAACTTTTTTAACAACCTTAGAACTAGGGGCTGGGGATTTAGCTCAACAGCATAAGTGCCTGCCTGGCAAGCGTGAGGGCATGAGTTCAATCCCCAGTACCAAAAAAAACCAAAAAAAAAACAGCTTTAGAACTGACAGTTCTAGACTTTGAGCCATCTGCTTTGTTAAAAAGTAGTTTCTTATCTGGGTGTGGTGGTGGGTACCTGCTGACCAAGCATCCTGGAAGCTGAAGCAGGAGGATGGTGAGTTAGAGACCAATGTGGGCTGCATGTGACAACTTATCGTAAAATAAAAATAGAGCTTCTTACTGTTATGTGGTATATATTTTAAACTCTAATTTTTAAAATTACTTACAGTGCCATTCAGGAGGTGCTCACAAAACGATACCTGCTGAATCCAAAATTTATCACCGATATTGTGGTAAGATTTTTGGTAAATAAGCTTGAGCAGGAAGTTGGTGGACAGGGTAGAAACAAAGCCATTGATTTTAGTAGTAGTTAAATGCATTTTAGTAAAAGCGCAAGTTCTGGCATTTAGTGCAAAATCCCTGTTTTCCTTCATAGCCTTTGGAAACCCCAGTTCTGCCCATAAGAAGAGATAGCATCTCTCTTCGTGTCCCTGAAACAGGCATCTCTGTGCCCATAAGAACTGCTCTGTGTTGCACATTTTCTAGGATGCTGCTCTTCCTCTCACCCCTCTTTTTTGGCTGGCTTTTCTTGCTTCCATTTCTGTGGGTTAAGGTGCTCCTCCTTACCCAGTTAGCCCTTGTCTTTCCATTTCAGTTTTTTTTTTTTTTAATGCATCAAGATTGTTTGCATTGCTCTCTTTTTACCTTGGATAGATTTTTCACTAATTATTGATGGATTTAATTACCAGTAATATAAAAGAACACTGATGCATGTGCACTACAGAAAATGTAAAACTGAATTTTCTGTTAAACAATGATATTTTAATTTTGGTTATAATGATGTTAATTTGTATTTTTCATCCCCCCTCCCAGTATGAGAATAATGTTATCATTATTGATCTGATGCAAAATTCTTCTCAGAAGACTCAGAATGATGTGGACATAGCTGATGTAGCTTATTACTTTGAAAAAGATGTAAGTATAAACTTTTTGTTTGTTGAGAGAGGGTCTTGCTGTGTAGTGCAGGCTGGCCTTGAACTCACCTTTGATCCTTCTGCCTCGGCCCCCAAGTGCTGGGATGGATTACAGGTGTTTGCTACACTTCCATTCCAAGCTTAAATCTCCTTATTTTATTCTGTGTTCACCTCTTATTCTTTATATACAGATGAACCATATTTCTACATGGTGCTTCTGTAATTACGTTTGTCCTTTATAACTAGGAGTGGTGGCTCAGACCTGTAATCCCAGCACTCTGGGGGTCTAGGGCAGGAGGATGGAAAGTTACAGCCCAGCATAGCCCAGCCCAGCCCAGGCAGTTTAGCCACTTAGAAAGACATTGTCTCACAACTGGGGATGGGGGAAAAATTTATAGTACTGGAGATGTAGCTTAATGGGTTCACATTTTCATTTTTATTTTTTTGAGACAGTGTCTAATTATAGGTGGACATTGTTCTTTTTCTTAAATGTTTTAAGTGATTTTTCTCCTTTTCAACATAGGTTAAAGGTGAATCCTTGTTCTCTTCTAAGAAGATGGACCTGAGAGTAAATGGGGAACCATTGGATCTGGATCCTGCTCAAACTTTAATTTACTATGTTGATGAAAAACCACCCGAATTTTCAATGCAGGGTCTAACAGCTGGTATTATTGCTGTCATTGTGGTTGTGATACTAGCAATTATTGCTGGAATTGTTGTGTTGGTGAGTACAGAACAAAGGAAATGGGATCCATGCTCCAAAACATTAATGAAGCAAAATCTTCATTTTTATATATAACTATAGCAAATTAATCTACCACATTTCCAGTTGCTTTTTACAAAACAGGCACTCAAGGCAAAAAAGGATGAAAGAGCTCCTGTCACGGGCCACTCACATTACCCACAGCAGCAAATACCCTTCAGTTCTCTTGCACTACAAACATTCTCACCAGGGCTAGTGCAAAACACCTGAGCTCCCGAAGCATGCAGTGAGGTAGAACAACAGGACCTGCGTTTTTGTTGTTGTTGGGGGTGGAGTGGTTGCTGGAAATGAACCCAAGGCCTTGGCAACACCAGGCAAATGCTCTGTCCCTGACCACATCCCCAGCCCCGGATCACAAGATTTCATTTAGCAGAGAAGAGTTAAAAGTGGTATATTTGAAACAACAATTTTAAAATTAAAATAAGCAAATGGAGTTTAGCAGTGCTTTAAAAGTAGTGATAGTGCACACACCTATAATCCCCGCATTTGGGAGACTGAAGCAGGAGGATCGTGTGAGTTTAAGGCTAGCCTGAACTGCATAGTAAGATCCTATCCCCCACAAAAAAGAAAAAAGAAATTAATATAGGAAATGGCTTTACAACTCTGTGAAAGTTTAATGTATATTAAGTATATAAACAAATATTTATATATTAATATATATGTAAAATTTAAGTATATGTATAAATACAAGTGTACTTATAAAAATAATATAAACAACCTTTCTGTGAGTGGGGGAAGCATACTGGAGTTTGAACCGAGGGCTCACATGCTAGTCAGCAACCTGCTACTGAGCTATGTTCCCCATCCCTTGTGTTTTTGTAAGATTTTGAGGCAGAGGGCTGGGGATTTAGCTCAGTGGCATAAGCACCTGCCTTAAAAGCAGGTGGTCGTGAGTTCAATCCCCAGTACCGATAAAAATGAAAAAGACAAAAAAAAAAAAAAAAAAATTATTAAGATTTTGAGGCAGAGTCTTGCTAAATTGCCCAGGCTTGCCTGGATTATCTTAATCAGCCTCCCATGTAGCTGGGGTGTGTTTGTTTGTTTGTTCATGTTTTTCTTTTTTGGCTAGTCTTGAGCTCCAGTGTTCTTTCTGTCTTGCCAGAGCTATCAGTGTGAGCTACCACATCTGTCCAAAATCAGACATGTTAACATTTTATATGGCAAAGACATAAAGCAAAAAATATTGATTATATAATGGGAAAAGTATTCATGATGCATAAAATAAAAACGGATATTGTGCATAATAATACAAAGAGATCCTAAAACTTGATGAGGAACCTACAGAATAGCTGTAGCGGGGGATAGATGATTTACAGAAGAAAAGTTTCAGATGACAAACTGGAAAATTTAACTGTCCCATGAAAATGAAAGCACTGGTGCAAAAAGTAAGCATATTCAAGGTTGTGGATCGCAGTGTGGAATGTACATTAGCTGGAGAATAATGAGCAAAGAGCAGTGTATCCCTGCTATGTGGGGTATTTTGAATAAGTTCAATCTTTTATTTTCTTTGTTTTGAGGTAAGGCTTTGCTTTGTCGTTCACACTTGGCCTTGAACTTGCCGTGTAGCCCAGGCTGGCCTTGAACTTGCGCTGTTTTTGGCTCAGCCTAGCTGGGATTTCAGGAGTGCCACCATGTCAAGTTTTTGATCAATCAGTATTTCATGTAGAATGGTTCCTATGATGTTGACATGGCTATTTAAAGATGCAATTGATATTACATTTGTTTGCATACTTTAATACGTAAGTAGGGAAAAAGGAAGCACATCAAGCTGTTAAACTGCACTGAGTATTATTCATTACTGATTTGGAGTTTGTTTGGTTTTTTTGGTTGAGACGAAGTCTTGCTTTATAATGCAGGCTGGCATCAAACTCATGGTGATCCTCCTAGCTCAGCCTCCTAGATTGAGTGCTAGGTGTATATGCCACCATGACTGGCTATTAAATTTCTTGATTTTGGTGTTGTTTTGTTTTGATTTGATTTTGTCTTTTGAGAGAGGGTCTCGCCTTGTATTTCAGGCTGGCCTTTAACTCAGTATGCATAGCCCAGGCTGGCTTCTAATGCAAGGTGAGCCTCCTATCTCAGCCTCTGAAATGCTGAGATTACAGGCAAGTGCCACCATGCCTGGTAAAATTAAAGTTTACTGGCCGTGGTGGACTTTTTAGTTTAGCAGTGAAATTTTAGTTTAAATGTTGATAGATTTTAAAACTGTTCAGATATGTACGTTTGCTGGCACAGTGGCACTCTCTGTGACCTTGGCACTCAGAAGGCTGAGGCAGAATGATTGCTATGCTTTCAAGGCAAGCCTGGGCTACATAGTGAGTTCAAGGCCAGGCTGAAATACATAGCAAGACCCTGTCTCAAAAGTAAACCCCTAGGGACTAGGGGTTTAGCTCAGCGGCATAAGCGCTTGCCTTGCAAGTGCATAGTAGTGAGTTCAATCCCTGGTACAAAAAAAAAAAAAAAAAAACCTAAAACAGGTATGTACTTTAAAAGCATGTATGTCAATTTAGAGCAACTTCGTTTTTTTCCAACTAGAGCCACTTTTTTGAGTTGCAGTTCTAAAATAGTATTCATTTTTCTTCCATTCAGATTATTTCCAGAAAGAAGAAAACAACGAAGTATGAGAAGGCTGAGGTAATGGATAGCATACGTTAGAAAAAGGCTCTGTTTAATATCTTACTCCTGGTAATTGGACACTGATGGGTTCCAGTTGTACTGAAGCCCCTTTACATTCTAGTCCCGGGGTCTTAGGGTCGGCCTTCGAATGGGCTTTTGCCTAACTTCCTGCATGAGTCCCATGGTGGGCTACCTTATACTGAATCATGCTTCATGAATCCCAACATGTAGCGAATCTTCTAGGGGCCTATACTTTAGTGGAGTCATAGTAGAGAAACTCGGGCGGACTAGTGAAGTGTTGTAATCGTCTCTCTGCCAGTGAAGAATCAAGTGAATGCAACTTGTCACAGTACATCTGCCTCTAAACTTGTATATCCTGGCCTTAAATCAGTGCTAGACTGTTGGTATGTGTAAGTCACCCAGAATTGGATATAAACACATTTGTCCTGAACTTTATCAATAACATTTTTATATACTCAGCATTTTATGTGTATTTATTTACAATTGTGTATGTACCACTAATATTTAAAAAAAAATAAAGAGAAAAGTGAACATTGACAAAAATTTAATAGAGAAAGTCTTAACCTTTTTTTCCCATTCCACAGATCATCTGGCTTATCTGATTTGACGGCCATAACACTAGGGGCCCACCCCTGAGCTGAACTGTGATGGACAGGGAGAATGCTGATGTAGTGTTAGAGTTAAGGGCAATATAGAGCTGGGTCTCACCACTTATTAGCTAAATAAGTAATACAGCGTCTTCAAACCTCCCTCCATGTCTGCACAATGGAAATAAGAGTGCAGGCCTGTTGTAGGGATTAAACAAAGCAGTTTGTGTCAAGTGTCGGTCCCGGGCGTTCCGCATGGTGAGAACTTTGCCAGCAGAGTAGTCATTGCTGGTCTCAGTTCCACCTGCAACTGTGGGATGTGGTTTCTCATTCTGAACTTGTTTCCTCACCTGTAAAGTAAAACATTGATCATAGTGACTTTGTTCTTGCTGGCTATAAAAAAGTAAGCGTTTACTATGAATTTGTTCTTAAAGATCTGGCTGAGTGCTGCTTTCCCCATCCCTTTGGCCCTTCGGTTTCAAATAGCAGCTTGGATCCTGCACTCAATGTGTTTCCTAGTCATAAAACCTTCTGTCTACTTAAATGTTTTATAAAATGTGAAAAAAATTCATCTTGCTTCTTTAGTTTTTTAGAAATTTTTCAGAATGAACAAAAGATTGAAAAATTATTTTAAGATTTCTTCTGTACTTTTCCCTCTGTGTTTCAGATAAAGGAGATGGGTGAGATGCATAGAGAACTCAATGCATAACTGCTATACTCAGAAGATTCACCACAAGAAGGGAAATTAGCAAGAAGATTACAAATGCATGAATGTGGAACAAAAAGATGTTTGAGTATTGCTGTGTTGTTAACATATATTTGTAATAGAGAAACTTGTATTCAAAATATAAGCAGCTTGAAATTGGCAATATCAGTCTTAAAATCTGACCATAAGTGTCTTATATGTGCAGATTTAATATTAAAGCCCAGAACATGGACTGCATAGTTAAAATACGTGTAATACTGAAGAGTATGTTCAATATGCTTCCACAGTAGAGTCCAAAAGATCACTGTCTTTTGTTTGTGATTGAAAGCTGCTTTTCTAGTTACTTTGAGACTTGTACTGTACATACAAACTTTTTTATGAAGTATGAAATAAAACATTTTTAAACAGAATTCCTTAACTTTCAATCAAATTTCCTACTATATACATCATAGGTTAAAAACTGAGAAACTGAGGGGTTGGTAGTACATATGTATAATTCCACTACTCACTTGGCTGAGGCAGGAGAATCGCAAGTTCAAACCCAGCATGGGCAACTTAGACTCTTGAAAAAAGAAAGAAAAATGCTGGAGATCTGGGAATTGTAATGCATTTCTGTAATCCCAGCATTTGGAAGACTGAGGCAGGAAGATCACTGCAAGTTTCAAGTTCGAGGCCAACCTGGCCTACATAATGAGTTTAAGACCATAATGAGTTTAAGACTGAACTACATAGCAAGACCCTGCGTCAAAAAGCAAACACACACACACACAAAACACATGGTGTGATGCATACCTGTAATTCCAGCATTTTGGAAGGTGAGGTGGAGGAAACGAGAATCACAAATTCAAGCCCACCACAAGCAACTTTGTGACTTAACAAGACCCTGTCTCAAAATGTTAAAAATAATTTTTTTAAATGAATTGTGTCAGGGATACAGCTCAGCAGCTTATGTGCCTTCCTGGCAAGCGCAAGTTTGATTCCTGGTACAAAAAAGAGAGGAAGAAAAAGTAAGGGCTAGAGATGGGCTCAGTGTGAAGAAAGCTTTGGGCTTAATTTCCAGTACTTCACAAATAAAAGAGGAATGGGGGCGGGATGGGGAATGGGATGTAGCTAAAGAAAAGATGCTCTGAGAGGTAGAGGTGTGCTTCATTGGCACACCATAATGGTTTAGCATGTGTAAAAAGTAGGTTAATCCCTAAGACACAAAACCAAAAGGGCTTTGAATGCTAATCACAAATTAGAATTCTGCATGAGCGTTCACAATCATTTCCATTTATATAATCTACAATAGAACAGTGATGGCAGACTTTTAGAACCTTCAGTGATACAGCCTACTGCATCATGCAGGCCATAGGTTCACCACCAGTGCTACAGAACTGTACATGCAGCATGGTGATGGATACGTATGGGGGTACCTACATGCTGGGCAGTACTGGGGATCAAGTGCAGAGGCTCTCACTGAGCTGTGTCTGCAGTACCCCACTTCTTTTCTGATTGAAGCAGGATCTTCCTGAGTTGCCTGGGCTGGCCTCACACTTGATCCTTCTGGGCCTCCCAAGTTGCTGGGGATGCAGTGTGCTACAATGCTGGAGTGGTGTATTTCTTTAGTCCCAGTACTTGGGACTGAGGCAATAATTCATACAGTTTAAGAGGCTGAGTTCTGTAGTTCAAGGCCAGTCTGGGCAAGATTGCAACCCCCTGACTCAATCAGACCCTCCAAAATGAAAGGTCCTGTTTTTGACAAATACTGGCAAAATATGTTTGTTGGGAGGTTCGGCCCTGTTCAATACATGCCTTAACAATTATGGTGCAAATGCATTTTACTTTCAGTTGCTCAGATACATCACTCTGAAGTTAAAGAATCTTGAAAATTTTTTTCTTCTAGTTTTGAGATACTAGGGTCAAGCCCATGGCCTCATGCATGCTAGGCAAGCACTCGACTACTGAGCATGTGTGCAGCATACTTTTAATAGTTTTTTTTCTTTTTTGTTATCAGGAATTGAATTCATGACCTCATGCTTATAAGGCAGATTCTGTGCTACTGAGCTATATTCCAAGCCCCTTTCTCTACTTTTATTAAGCCATTTTAAAAACTAAGTTTATTGGTACATTTTAACTGTACATAATTATCACATTTATTATAGGGAATTTGTACCTGTACATGATTTTCCCCATCGACCTACCCTTGACAGTTTTGTTTTTTGGAATTGAACTCACAACCTCACACTTGTCAGGCAGGTGCCGTACAGCTGAGCTGTATCCCTGGCTCAGTAGTTAATTTTTTTTTATTTTTTTTTAATTTTATTTAAGGAGAAAAAAAAAGCAGAAAAGGGGTAAAAGTTATACAGATTTACAGAAAAAAAACAGTAGGAAATCACTAGTTAATGATTGCATATTGTCATCTTAGAAATAATTGTTCAAGTCACAAAATTAAAGCTTGTAAAGTGGACATTCCAACAGTGAGACTGCAAACAGTTCTGTTCAATGATCCAACAAAACTCAGTGATATCATTATCTATCTTATACACTTATATATACATGCAGTTATATCGTTTAGAGCACTTTCTTTTCCTCTCTTTTGTACAATGACAATTACCCATTTTGGGTTTTGTTGCTCCCACAGTTCTTATTACTTTTTTGGAAGGGAGTAGAACCAAATGTGACATAACAGAACAGAGTCAATCAAATTAAAAGGGTGAACACAATAGATAATGTAAAAGCATAATAGAAGGTGATCAACAATGGTTACCATAATGCCTCCCGCTATCTCTAATAGAATTGCCTATATCCTCAGTTATAATAAAATTGAACAAAACAGTAAAGAACAAAACTGACAAAACCAAAACATTGGAGACATTATGGGTCTTCAAAAGTAGATAATAGTCAACAAGAATGGGCGTTATAAGGAATCTCACTATCTTCACAGCTGTTGCTTAAACTTTCGAACCTGGTACTATCAAGCAAAACAGAATAGGGGGACATCAGTCAAAAACAAGATGGTGAGAGTAATACAGGGCTTTAAATCAAGATAATGGAAAGTCAAAGTGGGTTACTATAATATATACTGCTATTTTTTATTTATTTTTCCCTTAATTAAAAGGATAAAAATAAAAAAGTGAAGATTGAGATAAAAGAGGGCATAACAGCAAAACAGCGCAGATCAAAACATAACCATTTAAGCAGAATAGTGTTTCACCACAAGATAATCCTGACATAGAAGTAGTTACCATATTGTCTCTTTCCTTGAAATCTTTGAGTATAACTTCGTATACTGTAGCATCAAATATATCAAAACAATGTAAAACCACTTAAGAGAATGACAGCACTATAGGGTATTTAGAATCAACCAACAGAAAATGAACAATTGTTTCTGTATAATCTCCTTGTCTTTAAAAGTTTTTGCTTATACTGGGGCTGGGGGTTTAGCTCAGTGGCATAAGCACCTGCCTTGAAAGCAGGCAGTCATGAGTTTGATCCCCGGTACCGATAAAAAGGAAAAAGACAAAAAAAAAAAAGGTTTTGCTTATACTATCATACATAATAAAATCCAATAAGATACAACCTGTTTAGACCATTGGAGACAGAAGAACAAAAATTGATGAGACTTCAAAACAAGATGATACTAAATCAGTATTACCTATTAAGATGTCATTTTCTCCAAAATAGCTGTTCCTATCATTCAATCTTCTCTGCCTCATTTCTGTTGAGCTCTTTTTCTGTCATTAGTTGTCAATTTGTCTTCTTCATTTTGTTTTCTGCTCCATTCATTGTGGCCTCTCTGCCACTATTTCTGGATTCTTTGTATTTTTCTTTTTTAGAATATCCTGTAGTATTCTCTGTAGAGTTGAATTGCTGGTTGCATATTCCCCTAGTTCCTCTTTATCCTGGAAGCACCTTGTTTTTCCATCAATTTCCAGGGATAGTTGTGCAGGATATATCAATCTTGGCTGGAGATTATTATCTTTCAAAGCTTGAATTATTTCCCCCCACACTCTTCATGATTTGATGGTTTGTGCAGAGAAATCTGCTGTAATTCTAATGGGTGTTCCCTTGTAAGTGATCTGTTTCTTGTCTCTGACAGCTTTTAATATTCTGTTCTTGTATTGAATTTCTGGAATTTTAATTATTATATGCCTGGGTGTTGCTCTGTTTGGGTTGTAGGTGGCTGGGGTCCTGTATGCTTCATACTACTGAGTATCTTTACCTTTTGCTAAATTAGGAAAATCCTCCTGGATTATTTCTGTGAGTAGCTTTTATAGTTCATTTGTTTGTGTCCCTACTTCTTCTTTTATGTTCTTAATTCTTAAGTTATGGATCCTCTTATCATCTTCTAGTCTTTGTATTATTGCTGTTTGTTTCTTTGTTACTTTTAAGAAGTTTTTCATTTCATTCTCCCATATTACTAATCTGCCCTCCAGTTCAGATAGTCTGTCCTTAGTTTCTTTCAAGCTGTTATGCCAGTTTTCGATAGAGTTTTTAGTTTCCTGGTAGTCTCTTTGAACCTGCTTCACATATTCTATGCTTTCTCTATTTTCTCCATCAAACAATTCTCCCCTCTTTTTCTGATCTTCCATTCCACCATCTGTTTTTCTTGGGTGGTGCTTAGCATTTCTCTAACTATTCTGCTTATTTCTAGCTTCAGGTCATTAATAACTTCATTCCTGAACTGATCTATGAGGCTCTCTAGATGGCGCTTTATGTCTATTGGTGCGGTGTCCGCTATTGCCTGTTTCTCAGGATTGGGGGCCGAAGGGCCTTTCTTGTTGTTGCTCCCTCTTCCCATATTCTTTGTATATGCAAGCATATATAGGAGGCCCAGCTTCCTTTCCTGTCAGCCACAGTCTGATTGAATTGCGCAGGCTAGGTGTTCCCACCCACCGCAGCACACCAGGAAGTTGCAGATCAGGCAGCCTATGCGGGGCCCGCCCCTCCAGGTCACCCTCAGGCTCTGGGATCTGGGTTGTGCTAGCCCAGTGGGTCTCAGCCAGCAGTGTCACATAGGCTAGGCACTTCTCACCAATCCCGCTCGAGAGGGGGGTAGGTGGCTGAAGTCGCCGCAGCGCCTTGTTCCCGCAAGTCTGCCCAGTCCCAGAATGTCCTCTGTTGGAGTCTCCCAAACCATGGGAAGAGTGTCAGTTTCTCTCACTCACCTCACCGCCACTCCATTCGCCGATTCCCGTTCTCAGATCTTCCGCGCATCTCTCTCCCTGCCGAGCCAATGTAGATGCAGCCGCCGTGTGGCGGGAAACCCAAATTGTGGCTTCCAATGGCGCAGGCTCCAGCTTCCACACTGAGGCTTTTCTGTTCCTGTTATAGCACCAGGATTGCACTCCAAGTTGGTTTCTCTCAGCCCAGTTCGTTCTTGGGTCAGCAGGGCATATCTCCACCTGCTCACGACTCCTTACTCCGC